GGAACTACACCCTCCCGGGTAGACGACATTACAATGGCTTACATACCCCTGCTTGGGCTGCAACCTCACTTCAACTAACTTTTTATTTATTTATTTATAAATTATTTGTTCATATATATTCAAATTAAATCGGTAAATTTTAATATTAATAAATATTACGTTTTAAAATGTATAAAAGTAAATATATTATCTTAAGTTACTTTTGTTTTATATCCGTATCTTAAGTAATTATAAAAAGATGTACAAAGTAAATTGATTCGAGAGTTTTAAGTACAAGGTAAAAGTTGGATAAAAGTAAAGAACAACTTTAGTTCGCGCGTTGGCCACTTCGAGCTAATGGCGCTGAGTTATCGACACGTGCTTGGCCTCCAACGTGGGGCGAGACTTGCTCTTTGGTGTTTCTGGGGCACTTGTTATGGATGATCTGATTGGCTCCGCTGCTATACTGGCTTTCTAAATAATATTTTAAAAGACTCAAGTCTGAAGGACAACACAAGACAGGTGAAGGTCCCACTGGCTTAATCCAATAAACAACGAAAGTGCCCCTCGTTCAAATCGACAAGATTTGTTTCTGAAGACATTTATGGCTGGACCCTTGACTTTTGGATCTCTTACAATTTCTTAGAATGGTTGCTCTTTTGTTCATATAGGATATGATAAAAATCATTTATTGGGCGTGTTTTCTGATCTCTCTTGAGTTAAATATCCATTTAACATAAAGAATCAAACAAATAAAAAAAACACCGACTTTCCACTAGAGACGAATGTTACGATGAAGGTGAATGGTTTTATCCTCAACGACATCCTTGTTTTTGAAGGAAGGAGTTCAGAGTCGCAGTGGGGGTTGTTCTGGGCTGTGAACACAAGCTCATTAAGATCTTACTTTACAAACGCTGGTGTGATTCAGATGATGGGGTTCCTCCAGCAGTTAGCTATAGTTGTGGCGACCCAGAGGAACAGTTCGTCTATCCTGTCGTACTAATGTACGATGTAAAGAGAGTGATGAAAGCGACTTTTTTTCGGAGTGATTTCAGCTTCACAGAGTCTTATTAGATTTTATTGCATACATTTTGTGATAATTGTGATGACACAGCGCGTTCGCTGATAATACTGACATGGTTATTCTGTACGGTTTACACACACAAAAAAAAAATACTAGGGCTTAAATTAAAATTAAATTAACACAGAGGAAACGCGTACACTCAGAAATACAACAAAAATAAAAAAGGAAGGACGTAAATAAAACCACTTGATTAGTATAACAAAACCAGCATTAATTGCAGCGCTGATAAGGAGCGGACCGGGGTTACACAGGTATGCGAGGATATCACCAGACAAGCACACAGGGAACACTTTAAGCGTCTCCACACAATCCCTCTGTCAGAGTCCATACATTCCCTTTGAACTCTCATATGTACAAAAATGGTCGCATTCGTTCAATGAGAGGGCGTGGGAGATCAGTTCACTTAACAAACAGCATTTTCCCACAAAAAAAAAAAAAACACTGAGAAGCTTAAAACTGTTTGTCAAATAATTTGATAGTACTCCCGGGCAAGTATCGTACTAGGTACAATATAATACCCCTATCCCCCGATTTACACGGTAGATACGTTCCTGAGAAAAACGTGTAAATCGGGGATAGGTGTACACAGAAATAAAAATAAAATGCATTGACAGGTTAAAATATGTAGTCAGCACATAAGCTCGGGATTCCTCGTGAGATGTGTACACAGCGCATGTGTTCAATCACAGTAGCATTTAGTATAGTGCGATAAAAACAAAAAAAACTTATTTGGAAAACCGTGTAAAAGCGAAAACGTGTAAAAAAGTACCGTGTAAATCGGGGATAGGTGTATTTTAAGAAAAGAAATTTCACGGCATCTCTCAGTGAAGAGTTTTATCTGACGTTGATAGCCTCTATGTTTGACGACGTATCTGTGGAGCTTTGTCAACTCACAAGACCTTGGAGAAAAAAAAAACTTCGATTTTTTTCAATATTACAAATATCCGGGCCTGATATACTTTGTTCCTCTTTCCTGAGCGTTACCACGTCTCAATGGATAAATCCACTCATCCTCTTGTTTCTGAGAAGTATTTGATCTAGCACGGTGGTTATCAATGATCAAAATTATAAAATGAAAGGATTTAAAAGCACGAATGTTTCTTTTATCACAATACAAACTTCTACTGTCCTTACTGCGACGAAAAAATATATTGGGAGGGCTTGGCTCATCAGTGGTGAACCCTCCTAGCGGTTTCGGCAATTTAATCCACCAGACCTATTCTTAGAGCTCTATACTGTATTGGACGATTCTGCTTATATACGTAGCACTGAAGGGTGGAATCTCAGAAATGGTTTTCAAGAAAACTATGGACATAAGCTTATAGGACAGTAGAATTGTATTATGTATAAAATAAACATTCGTGCTTTTAAATCCTTTCATTTTATATATCTAGATGGCGCGTTATACTTTGTATTGATCAAAATTTTATGTTTACTTTTAGATTCAAAATTTGGGTGTGTTATTAAGCCATTCGATTAGACCGCTAAAAAGTATATATATTAGAGCTTGGTGTTCTTGTTGTTCTGAGTAAAACACATTTTTTGTTCCTGTGTGTGTATGTTACAAAAGAATATACCGTTCAAATACCTAGAAAAAATATGGTTTTAAATCTTGAAATCTTGAAGTTTTCACATGCACACACACAAAGCGTTCCATCTCCTTTTGAACTTTCACTTTACACAGAACTCAGAGTAATACCTCCAAAAAACGATTTACATAAAAGTTTGCTCTCTTTACATCAATGTCTCGCTTCTTTTCGAATAAATCAACAAAAACTACATCTTCAGACATTACTGCGATGCAAAGCCCTGTCATATTATTTTTCTATCATCGCAGTAAGGTCTGCAGAAGTACTTTTTGTGATTTTTTCGAAAATAAGTCTTAAATTTTTTAATGTGAAATTTATTCTATAAACGGCATTTTAATACTTGAATCGTTGCCTATAAAGCTGTTTATTTTATTGAAGATTAAAAACAATACAATTTAGTCGAATGTTAAATATTCTGACACGCTCTTTATATTTAAATACCTATGCAATCCAGTGAACTCCAGCCATCATAGTATTCTCGTCAATTAATCCTACAGAAACTAGGCTCATATTCATCACTGGAACGCATGTAGCTTTCGGGGGGAAACACAAATCTCAGAATTACTGAACGAGCATAGCATAGACATTGTTTTAACATCCGAAACCTGTTTCAAACCTTGTCACAGAATGGACATCCCCAACTACAACACTGTCCGGAATGACAGAATTTCTGAACAGGGTGGAGGAAAGGCGATTTTTTTTACTTAAAAAAGTATTTACTATGTCCCAACACAACGCACCATTTCCAGCTTGGAAATCACAGGAATAACAAAAAAAAAAAACAAGGAACAACGATGAGCTAGTACTCTTACTTCTAGCCATCAAATACGTACCACCAAACTCTGCAGCGGTGGCAGAGGTACCATATTCATTGTACATAGTATCATGCATATATATATAATTATCTTTTTAAAATAGTGCCGACTGTGCACTTTTACATGTATTGACAAGATGCCAATAAAGTAATGTCAATTGTCAAATACGTACCTCGACCTAGTGGACATCAACAATATCTTCAGCACGGATACCTCAACAGTCAGAGACCTGGGGTTCCTTCCTTACTAACCCAAACTGTAAGATGCTTCAAAACGCTATTGTTGTCGTGGACCTCGACTTAAGCTGCCCATCAGTCGTCATCCACTTAAGTCAGAGTGTCTTCTCAAAGATCCTCCACGAACGACATCTGATCACCTTCCCTATCTCCTCGAAATACCAGATTTCTTGTGTCAACACAAAAATCGCTGACTGGGTCCTTTTAAATTACAAAATTGAAAATCTTTTTTTTTTTTTTCTTGTCCCAGGTCTGGACTTCGAGTCTAGACCAGATCCTGAAGGCCTCTTTATCGCCTCGATGACCACAGCTGGGTCGGTGTAGATGTCTGTTCGGCAATGCCCGATGCATTGCATGAATTCAATTTTCAACGCCAGAACACGTTACAGAAACATCGCTAGAAATAAACGAGGCTATAGTCCTCATTGAAAAACGAATTGTCCGAAATTAAGAGTAATCCACAAAACATAAAGAACCAGATCTTGAGCAAAGATACCCAGCTCACATCAAGGAAAGAAAAAATGAAAGCGAATATACTACAAAAACCAAAAATGAAAATAGAAATAATAAACTGGTGATCTCCTTAACAAAAAGCTTACAATTCCGTAAAAAAAAGACTCGCAAAAACTAACCAGGGAGCATGAAAACGCCAGCTGGAATACCTTCATAGAGAACTTGACGTGTCAAGCAACAAGGAAGGCTATAAAACGTCCACAAGTTCTCTAAGAAAAGGTATAAATAGTTATAAAAACAAACAACAATCTGACATTAACAGCGGACGAGGCAGCTGAAACAAACCCCCCTACCTCGTTCTCAAAACCAGTTTCCTTCTCAGGGGGACGATAACATATATCTCCAAGCTCATATTACATATTTCATTGTCGAAATAAGATTGTAATCTACTAAAATACGGAAAATTAAATGGAAATTTTGGAAATCATCTCGTGCCGCGCTGGCATTTGAGTTTTGCATACTCATGCTAAATGTGCAATTCAGATGCGCTGGGGCTTTTGCTTTGCATAAATCAGCCACCATATTTCAATCCTTTGCCTATTTGGTCGAAACGTTTTCGTATATTTTTATTTTCATATAAATCAGACAAGTCTTTGGTGCGTCGATTTTTTGTTATATATAGAGTGTATTTTAAAATTAAATATATATAATGGAAATCATGTAGAATGAACATGGTATAGGTATTATCCAATTAAAATATACAAGTATCAGAGTCATCAATCAATTCTGTCATCGTTTGCTTTTGTGAATGGAATAAATACCCAAATATGGCCATTTCTTATAAGCATCAGTGGTTCAGTGGTAGAATGCTCGCCTGACACGCAAGCGGCCCGGGTTCGATTCCCGGCCGATGCTTTTTTTTTTACAATTTTAAAAACTCATTTATATTAATATTATTATTATTATTATTATTAAAATATACAAGTATCAGAGTCATCAATTCTGTCATCGTTTGCTTTTGTGAATGTATGTAATAAGGGATTTCATATTTTTTATTAAATTTTGTTCTGGCCTTTATTTGTTTAAATCTCTTTTTAAAAATCGTTTAAAATGCAGTCGCAATCATTAGCGAACACATATGTTTGCCTAATATTTCCATTTGCTCTTTTATTTTTTTACAGAAAAATATTTACATGCCAGTATTTTGGATTAAATTTTTTATAAACCTTTTTTTTTTAAATTCTTACTGAGAAGATGGGCATCGCAGTCAGGATTCTTTACAGTCGGTCACTCAACTCAGGCAATTTCAAAGGTTAATGGGGGTTTGGTGGAAAAGCTGCCGTCTATTTAAACTATATTAATTTTGAAACAACTAAATGGATTGCAAAAAATAATTAAATCAAATACCTAAATACTAATATAATACAATTTTTGCCATTACACACTTTTTTTCCAGTAGTTTATGTGTTTCTTCTGTATTGCTATTCTATGGCACTTATACTATTTATTATTGATGTACTTTCAGTATGAAGGATACTTCACTCGGGGGATTTCTCGGGCGAAGCCGGGTCATTCTTCTAGTGTCAATATAATGCTATTGTTGTGTTTCCATAACAAAGTACACAATTTGTATTTTATACATTGTACCGAGGAGTCTATGTGAGTCGTTACATAGTGTATCCATCGTGGCAATCAAATCGTTCAAAAACATGCTTCCAAACTACATCATGTCGGATATTACAATAACAATGGTTATCAAGAAGTAATTATTATCATTATTTGCTATTCCTTCCTAGAGAATAATGCTTCTGAGGGTAAAAATATACATTTCTCATTTAGTTTTCCTCATACATTTTTCCTTATTCACAATTCTCTTCTAATATACACACCACGAAAACATATTTGAAATGTATTCCCAAAGTCAACAGAGATGTCGCACAAGAAGTATCCAGATGAGACAATGTGTCTCGGTAGATGTGATGCACAAGTATAGAAGAAGAAATGAGTAAATTCTCAGATTATTCTCATATTATAGAGTTACGATAATATAGAGATGAGAGTTAGATACACTACTGATCACTCAAATTGCTACACCAGGTAGAAATGCCAATAACAAAATGATATTCATTGGACAAATACATCATACTGGAAATAACAAGAGATTACATTTTCAATAAATTGAGAGGTATGAATTCTGGGAAATATTTAGACCACTCTGGCAGCAATAGCAGGACTTATACGCCTGGGTATTGATTCAAACAGAGATTGGATGGTATGTACAGGTACAGCTTCACACACGATGTCACAGTTCATCGACAGTAGTGACTGGTGTGTGGTAACGAGCCTGTCACTCGGCAGCTATTCACCAGACGTTTTCTATTGGTGACAGATCAGGGCAACCGAGCATTTTCTGTATGTAGGATGGTCCGTAAAATATCGGTAACATTGCGGTCGTGCATTATCCTGCTGAAATGTAGCGTTTCCCAGGCCTCGAATAATGGCTACTTCAAAGGGCCTCAACACATCATAAATGTAACTGGAACTGTTTAAATGGCCGGAAATTGTGACAAGAGACGTGTGTCCAACAACACGCCATACCAACACTCTAGGTAGGTGATATGCCAGTTTGACGATGGCACGCTGGTAACGTACCTTCTCCACAATGGCGCCAAACACGGATGCGGCCTGCATGGTGTTGTAAACAGAACCTAAATTCGTCTGAAAACATGACATCTCGCCATTCCTGAGCCTAGGTTTGTCTTTGATCTGGCGCTCCTGTCTGTGATATAGCGTCAAGGTAACCATGGTGTGACAGTCCAGACACTTTCAGACTTACAAACGACCTCATTTCTTTACTTAGGGCTCTTTACGTGGCTGCACGATCCATTAACGTGTTAGTTGCTGAAGCTATAAACATGGATAGCCTCTACATCATAAAATTTGTTTCTAAACTCGCCCATTTACTGAATAGTGAAAGGAACTAACCCTCACACTAGTACAATGGACATTTTGCATTAAAGTTGGTTAAGAACTTAGTAATGAAAACGCGGTTAGGGGCAAGCTAAAAGATGGAATAAACATTTTATACAATAAGAAAAATTTCTTCAAATAAAAGACACTTCGGCCAGTCAATCTTTTTATTGTCTCGACAAAAATCTTTTGTCCTCGTCAGGAGCGAACAAAAATTAAAACATTTGGCAAAGCATTATAAATTATTCTAAAGCTGCAAGGGCGTTTCTAACGCTTTGCCTAATGTTTCAATTTTTGTTCGCTCCTGACGAGGACAAAAGATTTTTGTCGAAACGTCGAGACAATAAAAAGATTTACTGGCCGAAGTATCTTTAATTTGAAGAACTATGAATTCTGGCCAGGCAGCCTCTATCTTTACGATAATAAGAAAATATTTGCGATAAATGTTGCATGACCATACCGCAAAAGAACCTCATAGACAACGTAATTAGATTCTATCTAAAGAGCCTCTTGAACTTGTGCATACACGTCTTTGTGTCCCGCCGACTAAATAAGAAGTTCAAAAAAATAATTTCTTTGAAATTTACAGACGATAATTTTCGAAATATAACTTTATTTCTTAAGAAATAAAAATGAAACCTTGAAATACTTTGAGATCCAACGAGCCAAAGTAGAAAGAGATAGTGAGAATAAAAGATAAATAGAATAAGATCCGACAACGGGTTCGAATATTGCAATAACAATTTCAAACAACATTTATAAAAACTATACATTAAGCCCGACTTGTTCAATCCATTCTTGCAGAAAATAAACGGTAAATAACGGCGAATAAAATGATTTTATACTTGGCTAGTGAATCACTGCAAATCTTCCACACAGTGTTTGGACCGAGGCAGTAAATGCCGCATCTTATATTAGAGATAGGTGCTTCGACAAAGTTCAGGAAGAGGTCTGGTTAGGTAAAAGTCAAGTATCAGTCATCTAAAAGTCTACGGATGATTAGCTTATGCCCACATACATCCTTAAGAAACAAAAACACGTCAATTCGACAATCGGGGGAACATACTAATTAACTATTTAACTAAACTAGAATATATCGTCTCTGATGTCCTGATCTACAGGACGTAATTCAAACCAAACATGTAAAATTGGATAAATCGTAAATATATATTATGATGCATTAGCGCGCCATCTGTTATCAAAATTCGAAACTATTATAGACACGTATGATTCTTTTTAAAAATAAAAAAATTTCTACTGTCCTTACTGCAATGGAAAAATTAATGGGAGGGCTTGGTTCACCAATGATCCAGGCCCTCCCATTAATTTTTCCATTGCAGTAAGAACAGTAGAAATTGTTTATTTTTAAAAAGAATCATACGTGTCTAAAATAGTTTTGAATCGTAAATATGCTCTTCATATTAACCTAGACAAAGAAACTGAGCTAGGAATATAGAATCACATTTGAACCGATCATGCCGAAAATGATAACAGTAGAAGAGGAATGCCGAATGTAAGTATCGGACCTCGGGATGCAGCAAGGGGAAGAATATTCTGCAGCTAAACCAAACGTCACTCCCACAACCGTGCTTGCAAAACGAAGCTTAATATGAAAATGAACTTTCCAGAGGTTAACGAGCCTCAATCCTTCAACCAAGTACTAAACTTGTCAAAAGTCGATTACTGAAAATAAAAAGATTGGAGAAGGAACTAAATAGTTTGATATAGAACGTAAGATAAGGAAGTTGACAGACCTTTCACCCGAACAAAACAACGTTATTCGCAATAGATGGGTATACAATGTTGGAATAAACGCAAATGGCGAGATAGAAAAGTTTAGTATATATACTATGGATTTTACCATCTCGAAAACAACGACTTCCACGACACCTATGCGTACCTATGTAATTTTTTTCTTTGATCAGAAGGTTACTTGCTTTTCTATGGTTACTAACCTTAACCAAAGGCTGGTGCATAAGACACTCAGATATAAATACAACATATCTTCATAGTAATCTGGACGAAGTGATAGTTTTGAAGCAACAGCAAAGTACTGAAAATAGAATTGATAAAATAAAGTACTTTTCTTCCGTCGTCTGATACGTCGATTCACTATGTCAATCAGGAGTAAATTAGAACTCAACAGTGTTCTGGAGGAGATATAATTTAAAAGATAAACTCGTTTACCTGTTTTTCGCCTATGAAGACAGGGTATTCATTGAGGTCGACGATCTGCCATTCTTCGCTAAAACCTACTTCGGAGAATAGAATCAGGCAAATTTAAGAAGGTACCATCAAGTATAATTCTGGAGATATATAATCTCGACGAGGACACAATATCGTTAAATTACATATTGAAGGACATTGTGCTACAAAATGATTGGCATTGTTTCTAAGACCACAATTTCAAAGTCTCTCAAAGATCATGTCGAAATGATTTTAATGCTCTTCCTTGTTTGGAGGCTATTAGGATGGGAATACAAAGTCTAAACCCAATATTACTTCGATGGTAAATCTTTGGCAGCTTGCAGCAGAAACACATTTATGAACCCGGAACTCAAAAATCCAAATGACGTTATTACTGACGTTTTCTTCTATCTTCCTCAGCTATTGCAATTTGGTAATATGCTTCAAAGAGGTCTATTCTGGAAAATAGTTTCCCCCTTACAATATATGCTGAACATTTTACATTTAGGAATATGGTCAGGAATGTTGTTTAATTTTCGAAAATCCTCACAATTCGCATGAAATGGGTTTGTCCATTGAGCTTTGAACTAGGACGAATAATGCCATTTTAGAGCATATATTGAAATTCCTGCTTGGTGATGCTAAGACGTTTCGTGTCTAAATACCTTGCTTTTGAAAATAATAGTTCTGACGCTGAGAGAAGATTCCATAATTTGATTCGCATGGTGACGTACATTTTACTGCGATTTATAATTTGT